GTACTATGCAATAATATGACAGTGTTACCTTGAAAATGTGAAATTAATGTTTGATGTTAAAAGTATGGTTCCTTGTTGATCCCTGTTACTTGTGGGCACACAAAACTAAAAATAACCACTGGAAGATTCAATTTAGAAGGATTCATGAAACAGTTGCCTTTATTTGTTAAGTACTGCATTACAGTGTCTTGCTTTCATGCTTTTTTTTTTTTTGGTCAGATTGGATGTTACTTTTGACTCATGGAGCAATTACTACGCAATAAATGTTTGAAAATGTAACATGTTTTTTGACCATTTGTTTAATAGAATTAAGAAAATGTAAGGTGATTATATAAAGCAAGTAACAATAAGTTATTGGAAATGAGTAAAGTTTATGTATTATAGAAGCTTAAATCACAGTTCATCAGTTTTCATAAAATGTATTTAATTCATTCACATTAACTGAACATGAAAGGGTGAAGCTTAAATAAATGTTAACTTTTGCGTTGGATTTATGCGATTAAATTGGATGGAAAATTGACATCTAATTGAATTACATAAGTTTTAACTTTTGGGGTTAAATATTTTTTTGAGTAGGCGCAAACTGGGCAAAAATCAGGTAGATGGCTAGAGCTGAATGGCGGCCATTTTGTTCTTGCGCTAACACATCAACAGCTGTTCCCTGTCCAACACAAATATTAAGTGTTACTGTTTGCTGATAATTTAGTAGTAACCACATAAACAAAAGCAGAACATCTACTGTTCAAGTATGATATTTATTGAATTATTCAGACTGAGGCCAGAAACATGCAACTGATTCAAGTTATGGAAGTTTGATTTCACATGTTTTAGATTAACGGCAGCCATTTTGTTCTTGCACTAACACGTCACTACCTGTTCCCTGTCCAACACAACTATTCTGTGATGCTGTTTGCCAATAATTTAACACTAACCAAGTAAACAAAATCAAAACACATGCTGTTTAAATATGAACTCAAAAGAATTGTTCAGACTGAGGCCAAGAACACGTGAACGATTCGTGCAAACTTGATTTCACATCTTATGTTTCAAAATGTGTCCAAATGCAATCCGTTAGCTTGTACTAGAGTAACCAGTCCTCTTCTACCGTCAATTTTCTCTTTTAGGTTGAATATTGCAATGGTGGTGCTACTGTTTGAAGAGAATCTGGGTAAAACAGAAACTCAAGTGTGACCTATAGATCTGTCAAAGTGAGATTTTGCCCAATTTAGCTCCGACCAGATCCATGTTTTCTGGCTGTGTATGCGCCATTTTACATAGCAATTGTTCTGAATAAATGAGAGGAGCTCTAGGTGCAAACTGGGCACAGATCAGGTTTAGTTTAGAGCTGAACAGCGGCCATTTTGTTCTTGCTCTAACACATCAGCAGCTGTTCCCTGTCCAACACCAATATTATGTTCTGCTGTTTGCCAGTAATTTAGTAGTAACCAAGTAAACAAAAGCAAAACACATGCTGTTCAAATATATATTCGAAAGAATTGTTCAGACTGAGGCCAGAAATCTGCAAACGATTCTATTCAGCTCACATTTTTGTGTGTTCTGTTCCAAAATGTGTCCAAATGCAATTTGGTATCCGGTATTAGAGTAACCCGTCCCATTCTACGGACAACTGTCTCGAATCTGAGTAAAATTACAAAAGCAATACTGACCTCTAATTCTGTCAAAGCGAGATGCCCACTGTTGCCCTGTTGAAAAAACTATCATATGCTGGTTAGGTATGTTTTGAAGCATGGCTGCTGGTTTGAGCTGGTTTAAGCTGGTCCTTAGCTGGTCATATGCTGGTCCTGAGCTGGAGCTAGTTGCTTAGGACCAGCTTAAGCCAGCTCACGACCAGCTAAGGACCAGATTAAACCAGCTCAAACCAGCAGCCAGGCTACCTAACCAGCATATGCTGTTTTTTTCAACAGGGTTTCTGGCCCATTTTACATTACACTTATTCAAAACAATTGCGATAAGCTCTAGACCCATACTTGACGGCGGTCAGGTACAGTTGGACGGGTACGGCTTAACACTGGCCATTTTGTTTTGTGCTAACACGGCAACACCTGTTCTCTGGCAAAAACTTCTGTTTAGCTAGGGCTGAACGATTTTGGAAAATAATCTAATTGCGATTTTTTTTACCAATATCCCCACCTCAGACTACCAAATAATTTCACTAAACATGAAAAATGTATACTTTTTTAATTTAAAAAACCTACACGGAAAAAAACACCTGCATCACTTGAAACATTGAAAAATAGCATAGAGAGAAT